TGGAGACACTACAAGATATGGCTGCCAACCGATGTCAGTGGCGTTCTTGTTGTCAGTTTCTGTCCAGATTGCCTGAATGAATGTCTGGAGGTGTAGGCACCTCGGAATGATTGTGTTAAGCTAGCACTAAGTCCCTCCCCCATCCACCTTTATTCTTTTCTTTACAATAATGCTTTCAAATAAGTCATGGCTGTATGGCAGGGAAGCATTGGTGTTGAACATTGATGTCAGGCTGTCGATGATGATGACACTGGGAACCCAAGTAATAGGAAAGTGCAGACAAGCAATCATATGTACACCGGTGTCAAAATATTGGTAGCTCGGTCGTGCCTAATGGTGGTCGATCAGGTCGAGACGTCATCAGTCCGCAATGTGCACCCAATTGCGCACTGATGATGTCTGCTAATTTGGTGATCAAGTGTTTGGAGTTAACTGCGAAGATCGGCAAACAAATCAACGCCCGTCTGGTCAACAACCAACTCGCGTGAATATCATGATATCATGAACAAGAGGTCGAATTTGAATAAGAGTGACTGTCAGTATATATGATGATTTGGTGTTCAGGAACGACGTAAGATTGATAGGGATCCTAGGATTGAGTAGATTTATGAAGAGAAAGTATTTTATGCAGAGCATTGTTCCGAATGAAGGATGGTGTACAGCACTCCATGACCGACGTGATAGGTTCTTTTCCAATACACCCAGCCAAAAAATCAGAGGACCAACGCGACGATTCATGACAACCCTTGTGTTGAAGCTATCAACAGTTCAATATGTCGAGGACATCAACATAATTTAAATGAAAGTCTCTTGTGACAATTTTGTCTTCCAGGGAACGAGTACACTACAAAAACCGCGACAGACAAACATTCGGCAGTTTTCATCTCGCTCAGTAACATATAAGTCCGAAGCATGAATTGCCGTAGAAGTGGACTGATCTGCAGAACCTTCTTCCAAGATCCAGGTATCCCCGCGTTCACCAAAAATAAATCCTAACTAATCTGGGCCATAAAGTCACTCAAATCACTAAAGTTAGGCTCAGGAATAGTGCTCTTCGAGGATGTGTTTGACATAGCCACTTTACAGCACTGTATGATGAAATCCAAGCGGTACGGGCTTTGCGGTTTGTTGAGCGTTAGCAAGGTTCTAACAAACCTGGTCTGTTTGGCTGAAAATGCTCTCTGCAAATCGTAACGGCTGGAGATAATGTAGATCATAGTTTTAGATGTCTCATTCTCAAGTTTTATTCTCTACAATGATGCGACTTCGCTGAATAGGCTTCAGCTCACCGGTTTTGCCTGGTCTTCTGTCTGTTTCCTGAACACGTGTTCTTCACCTACAATACATAGACTGTCTCTCGCCAAAGCTAGATTAGTGTGTTGACGGGTGTGTTCTGAGAACTCTGATCGATCTGGATTCAAGTGGATTTGTGCCTAACAGGTAGATAAGCACGAAGTGGACTGGCTAAGTGGGTGCAGATTACAGAAACATAATCAGCAGTGTTCTTACAGGAGGAGAACATACCTCGAACATGATACCAACTTAAACAAGAGGCGATCGCTGTGCAGCACATTCGTGAACGAGAGATTCACCTGGAATTCAACTGAGCCAAAGTGGTGCGAAAATGAGTAATTGGCATCTGTTAATCAGGGGTGAGGGTATCACATCAGACCGTGCAAAAGAGAGCTCGCTTTGGACTGATTAGTGAAAAGACTTTCTTTCGGATGTCCCTTATCGGGGAAAATAGTTTAAATAAACTGTGGTACGCATGTTAGACTGGCTGAACGATGTACCGACACGACAGCAGTTCACCTGCAAGCCTCATTCATAGTGATCCAGCAGCAGACTGAAAATTATGCAAGGGTTGGGTTCGGTTAATACCATCAAATTATCAGGATGAATTCTCCATCACCCTATTCGACTGAAGGCCCCAAAAATACATGCCCCCCCCCCAACTAACGATAATGGGATGTATAATTACACTGTTCATCCAACTTGTTTGTTTGGGTATCTAAACCTAGGATGGCATTTAGTGCCTCCAAACTGAAATTCTTTTGTTCCTACTCGAGAGATCTTTTGGATGAAATGCGTGAGTAGGTAGCCGAGATACATAAGTTTAAAAAAAATTCACTTTGATGGTGATAGTGGCGAACACGAAAACCACAATGACGTTGGTAATCATGATGCAAAAACAAAACTACTGTTAGTTGTCTAAGCTTATTCCACTACTCAAAACGTTCCTCTTATGGTTGCTTTTGTTCATCTCGGGGCTCACAAGATAGGCGCCCTTTCCGAGCTTCCGGCAACCAATGCTCTACTTGAAGCTGACCGTTAGAAACGGGAGACTTAGCTGGATGTATTTATATCTTCTGTCAAAGTTGAATTTTCGTGTGTTGTGGACCACGTTTTTCCTGATGTCTTAATTTTTTAAACCAGGATGTGAATATTTTCGGAACCATGATTCGAAGGTGGAACAGGATTCTGCACCGCAGTGAAAATCAACTGTACTGTTCGCAACGACGTCAACAGAAGACTTGGTCGTTTCATTTGTAGCTGAGCTTCGAATTTCCATTTTGTGAAAGATTGCTTCGACTAACCTCAACCAAGGCTCTTCAAATTTTGCCGCTGCTGTTGCATTTTGGAGTTCGATTTCCAAGTGCTCCCGTCGCCAACTTGTTGTGGAGCCCGGTTTTTCTAATGTCTCCTCAATATTGTAAACCCGAGTCTGGATGGCCGCTTGCTAGCCTGATGCCTCTAGCCAAACCCGAAAGCTGATCTGTCGAACAACAGCGCCTGAAGGCGTGTCGCGTGCAGCCAAAAACGGGATACTTGTAAAGCTCACGTGGGCCAAAAATGATACAAAAATAGAACTCATCTTTCAAGGACAAATGAGGAACAACCAACTGAATCCGTCCCAAAGAAAACGGTTATTCCATTGGCAGTTGTATAGTCCAGATACGTTCGGAATTGATTATCCTGATACTATGTGACTGAAGGTGTTCGTCGAAAAGCCATCAGATGACTGTACAGCACTGCATGGAAATCCAAGCTGTTGCCTTCAGTGCACAGTTCCCTTCCCAATCCCCCCACCCAACAGTCCGCCTACAGTGCTGTATTTACGCACCACTTTATCAGCTTGGTTATTCCATTGGCAGTTGTATAGTCCAGATACGTTCGGAATTGATTATCCTGATACTATGTGACTGAAGGTGTTCGTCGAAAAGCCATCAGATGACTGTACAGCACTGCATGGAAATCCAAGCTGTTGCCTTCAGTGCACAGTTCCCTTCCCAATCCCCCCACCCAACAGTCCGCCTACAGTGCTGTATTTACGCACCACTTTATCAGCTTCGGTCTCCAATGCGCAGCTACCTACACCCACCTCCCCAAATCATCGGTGAACGAAACTGTGGCAGCTACAACCGCTGTACGACAAGTACGAGGTTATTACAGCTGACAGTGATGACGATGATGGCTGGCAGCGTTGTTCTGCTGTTTGTGAGTACGAGTACCTATAGATAAAGTCCTGTGAATGTCTTCTCGGTACTCATTCTACAAACGTACTCCAAATGAGGCTTTGACTAGAAAAATTAAGACTTGTACATCATCTGGAACAATGAAACTGGCGACTTATGGTTTTTTTCATGGAATCACTTTTTAAATTTTGTGTTTTATGGAACACCAAACGGATACGATTCATCTACGACCCCCAGGAAAGTACGGAGAGGGAAAAATTGAAAATTCACTTGCAGAACCGATAAATTACTTCTGCAAACCATGTGTCTGGTTTGTGTTCACAGCGTAGAGTCTGTGGTTTGAATTCAGATGGGCGTGTACATGCCAAAATGCGTCTTTGCCACACGCACGTCGGCTCTCACTGATCACTAGTGAGAGCAAGTGGATAGAAAACGCTCGGAAACCAAAAAGGCAACAGTGCATATCTGTTGAGCACAGATTTGCTCTTGTTCACAAAAACTTTTTTGTGCGTTGATTTTGTCTCCATCCACGGGGAGTTGTGACAACCGTGGATTTTCAAGGTGGTCTGAACGTGAGGCAGTGCTGTACAGAAAGCCAATGGTTGACTTGCTTTCAGTCAAAACGTTTGGGGGGGTTGGCTTGTGACCATCAAGTCATAGCCCCCGTTCCGTATTGCCCCATAGTCTTCGATGTCGTTCGTAGCCACTCTGTAAGGAGAAAGCAAACAGCGAATAAAGTGTCAGCACATTTTCACAATTCCTACTGCAACAACATAAAAATCATGTGATAAACATTATCTCGAAGCTGGAGCATGTGTAGACGATATTTCGAATAAACTTTGTATCGACTGGCAGCATCCGGCTATCTGAAATTAGAAAAACTCGAATGAAAATGCTCCAAACAGTTTGTCGCTAATTTCAGTCTTTACTTTGTTGCTCTTCTCTTGAGATGCTCATTATAACGAGTGTGTACGATGAATATGAACCTGCGTTCAGCTTTAGCACTCTTTTGGTAGCCATTCACCATGCCACCCGAAGGAAGCACGAGTACCGGGATACTGCCAGCGTGCCCAAACAGGAGCAGCCGAGGTTTCTGGGGTTCGGTTGAAACTACGGATCTTCCGGTCAGTAAGTTCGCGCCTTAGAGAGCCATTCACCATGCCACCCGAAGGAAGCACGAGTACCGGGATACTGCCAGCGTGCCCAAACAGGAGCAGCCGAGGTTTCTGGGGTTCGGTTGAAACTACGGATCTTCCGGTCAGTAAGTTCGCGCCTTAACCAGAGAGCCATTTTGGGCTCTCGGGCTCAAACATATGGTCTGCCTAGGGATGGACTTTCTAGGCTAATAATCCATAGCAGTAAATTTGTGTGCAGCAACTGGGCGAAAATTCCCACTGGGCTGCGATCTCCCTTGTGTTTCAGTGCGCTTGCCGGCTTCTCATATCTTGGACCAGCTTTTGCTAATTGTGCTGAACTTTTGGGTGACTTTGTACTTCATTTTGTATTTTCGCATTGAACAAGGTGGGAAACCTTACGAACAATCGATTTATCCAGGGACTGATACTGAAACAAGCCATCGTAGCGTCAGCAGCCGTAATCTAAATTTTGGATAATCCGAAGCTGGTCGACAGAAAGCACAACAAAAGAAGGTTGTAATCAGAACAGTGGACGGGCTACTAACGAAGTGTTGTAATGCAGTACACATTTCAGAAAAGCTCAAAAACTAATTCGGCCAGTAAATGGGCTGGAAGTTTTCGTGCTATGAATGGCTGCCGGTTGGCTATTGAAGATTACCAGAGTTCAACTCGCTTGGACAGTACTTTGAAAGGAACTGGCCAGAAGTGCTGGGGTTGCAGTTGACCGACAGGAAACAACCTATCAAAGATGTACGTACAAACTACAACACTCGTTTTTCTGAAGTGGCCGATATTCTTGTCCCGTCAGTGAGTGCTTTCACAAGAGCTAACCAGATGGCGAATTTATTTAGACCTCCATAAGCGATGGATTCTAAGTAGTTTAGAGTAATCCATCTTTGTGCACTGTTTCAGGGCATCCTGGTTTTTTATATAGCTTCCCGCTGAAAAATACCAAAACACTACTGCCGTCTTTCTAACACACAGACACACAAACACAGTCCAAGAATCAAAAACTATACTCTGTACACTCAGGAAATTGCAGCAGTACTTAATATCTTCCCAGCTGATATAATTTAGTTACCGCATTTCCAAAGATAGCTTGCAAACGTAATAAATTCTGGACTGTGGAAAACATTACAGCACAGCTGTAGCCACTACAAGGACTTACCTTTGATTTCCGTGGCTTTTTGTTCGCAAGTTTTTCCGGCCATGTTGATTTCTCGCCCTCGGTGTAACAGTTAATCAGTTCAGCAGCCGTCGGAACATGGTTTGTATTACTTTGTTCAGTGGCAGGCACTCGATTACATTCTGCTCCAAGCTCCTGTAAAACCAACAGAAATACCGGTAGATCGTTGGTTACTCTGCGACCCAGGCGTCTTACCCGACGCTGATGTCAATGACTTGATAACAAGGAGGTTGGTGTTGCTGCTACTGCTTCTTGGAACGATAATGAGGATTTACAAATCATCAGGAGTATCATACAAGGATGCAAGTGACAGGCGAAACCCACCTCCCGACATTGTTCGATTACGGAAGAGAGAAGTTTGTGATGCATACACGTCGTGCATAATCGCTTCTTCATTTTTTGCGAATCACAGAGTTCCTTACTTAGAGTACTCTGCAACAGATGAGTAAAAGAGTTGGTCAGCAGATACCATGGCTGGCATGAACTACAATTGAGACCATATACGAAGGCCTATTTAAATTAGAATTAACGGTATATGACAACAAAATTTTCACAAAGCTGAGGTAAAGCACAGAGCCACATGTATATTCCTTCGAAATTCTCCCCGACAACCATGTCAGTGTGTTGAATTCTTTACATACAGAGACGTGGCGAATCACTGTGAGCTCAAATGCCAATGTGCGAGGTGAGCGGCGTCGGTTGTGGCTCACTTGGTGAAGCACTTGTCCAGCAAAGGACAGGCTTGTATCTGCACTTTAAAACATCGCCATTGTTAACATGCTGATGGACCTTGCAACACAGAGCTTACGTTCCACTTTCTGAGTCGAGCAACAATGAGATGGCCCCAAGTAACAAGAAAGCACGACAGTGCCTTAGGCGAACCAGAGCATAAGGACCTCCTTTTTTCAGGCAACCGAAACATTCTCCACATAATTGGCAGTTTGTGTCAAAAATCGCGATTTTTTCCCGTCACTGACGCAAATCCGAAATCAAACAGGTTGTTGAAACTGACACGGATAAAGATAGTATTTCTGATCGGATTAGTTAGGCAGCTCGCTCCACAAGGTAAGCGCAGCTTTCATTAGTTCGTTCACCTATAGCACCGTTTTGGCGCCTAACTGTCATGCCACCAGAAGTGTGTTTGCTGTATGGAAAATAGTACTCTTTTCGGTAAACGTCATGCCCCCAGAAGTGAGTGTGATGGCAGAGATACTGTCAGGTCGCTCGAGCCCAGACAGGGGAAGTCGAGAGGCAGAGATCGGGTTCGAAACACGAACATTTTGGTCAGTAAATTCGCGCGTCAAACAATCGATCATGCGTGAATGAACACAGGGGATGAATGTAAGAAATGTGGTCAAAAGCTCTCTGACGTCGGCGTTGGCCTTTTCGAGCCAGACATTTAATGTCCTATCATGATCATAGTCATGGCGGTTTCCCTCCCTCTCTCTCTTTCCCTCCTCTTGTCTCAGTATCATCTTCACGGGCTGAACTGCCTTAAACAATATGGTTCTATTCAGAAGACCCTCGTAATTGAAAAGCGTAATGAGGAAAAGTTCCGAGAGAAAGCTTTCACAAACACCCAAGTCGTTTACACAATGCTCGACAATGCTCTCAAGGAGTCTGGATGAACTGGCATTGATTGTAGACGTAATGCACTAATCATAAGGTTACTTAAAACCCTTTGACAGCCCACGATCGGTTACGTCCTTCTTGAGTCTCTTCTGTAGACGCTATCCCCAAGTTTCCGTCAACCTTAAGTTCAATTTGAACCAGAAAGTAACATAGTTGTGTTAAAATACCTTTTTTGTGCAAAGTTTTAAAATGACCATCATCTCGGACCGTACATAGGGCAAAAATGCAGCGCAGTAACCTTTAACTTGCCTTCAGTTTTTCCAAACTTAGTGTCAGCCGAGCAGCCACAACTTTTCGCACAGCTATTAAATCCTCGAGTTCCGAGATTCGCATTAAGGCCTGCGTCACTTGAATCTGTTGTTCATCAAAGTCAACAGCCTGGATCATGACGTTGCTCCGCTCATGCTCCTTTAGGAATTGTCTGACGCTGTCGAGGCGTTTCAAGAGATTCTTATTCGTTATTCGTAGTTTTTCTGTGACAGCATCCTGGCAAACCCAGTTGTATTAAAGACAGATTAGAAAAATGGCAATTCTGACTCAATTATTCGGTAGTTGATACATCTGTAACGAAATTATCTACGACAGCGATTGGTACTGCTCGTTCCAATCAAAATTCGCTTGTGACTTGTGTGGATTTGTAAATTACGGCATTTGACATCTGCTTCACACAAATTCTACCCTTTTTCTGCTACACATCCTGTACTCAACAGATCTCTTCAAAGACCAAACACAGGCGTTACAAGTTATTTTTCTTTCCACGCATCCTTTACAGACTTCAAATTACTTCACCTTTTGATTGGTTCCATCAGTGCACTGTAGAAACGTTTCACCACAAGGACTTCCTTCTTTGTGGAAAACTCTCAGCTGATAAACCATAATGGAAGCAACAAACCCTTTTGGATTTTTTCTGACAAGGTGGATATTTTGTGCCAGCGCAAGCTGTAGAAATTTGCCTCCATAGAGTAGCATACAAACCGGCCAAGAACAACAGATTTGATGGAGTTAAACAGACATCCACAAAATGGATCTCATTGCTTTTGGGAAATGAAGCAAAACGAACTGGAAACTACTCATCAACGAGCGCTCGTTGGTTCATACGTAAGTGCAATGCACACCGGTCTGTCTGATTCGTCTAGATGCATCGCGTGGCCACTATAATTCATGATCGTTTGAATCCTGAAAAAAGCAATAACTGAAGCAGTGCGGGGGGAAAGCACCCTGTAGACTAAGACCAAAAGATTGCTGGCTGTTCCTTATAAATCACAAATCCGCCTAACCTGAACTTTAAGGTTGGAACAGAATGATAAATACCTGATTTCAGCTACTGTGTCCAGTTCTAGAACTGCGTATTTTCTCTGACGCTGAACAATGCTGGGCAGTTTTCCTCATATTTTCTACGTATTTATAACAGGGTTTGGGGGGAACTCTATATGAGAAAAAGATTCATCCGTAGAACTGCACAGTCCGTATCGTCCACCCTGCCTGAGTATCGACAATTTGCCAATTTGCATTACTGAAGTCCCCCATCCGTAGTGGCAGACTGATTGCCATCGTGAGCTCACATCGTTGCTGTCTGCACCCGATCGTCTGGTACCAGGTAAAACCAAATCATTTTGTGTGCAACATTTTTTTACGTTTCATCACTACATCTGTGAATGCTGGGTGACGTGCACGAGTTAGTCATTTTTGTTGCTTGCGCCTCATCAGTAGTCCAACCATTACGGTTAGAAAGCATACCGAACTTGTTTAGGCTTGCAAAACTTGTGGTCACACTATCGAGATATCATTCGCTGTCATCCACTTCAGCTCCAGAGGAACTTGTTGCATTGGGCTCGTCAAGATTAGTTAGCCTCGTTTACAGACTCGCAAGAATTTGCGCACGATACCATGTTTCAGCACACTCGGTGAGGACTTTTTTCATCCGGGCAAACACATTAGAATGCCAGACGTTTTAGTCCAAAATACCAAAGCTTTCTAGGTCACTTTTATATTCCGTTGTATTTCCCTTGGCATTCAGGGGAGTTCATTGGGACTGTTTTGAAGGGCAGTTCTCAGTACCATTGTGGAGCTGATTTAGTGCCCACCTTAGTTCGACACCCATGCCCTCCCTTCCACGATTCAACATTGGTATGAACAAGCCGCTGACGGACCGCTTCTGGTAGAATATGCTTCTGATGAAAATAAATGTCATCACTCCAGGTTTCCATCAGAATGACCACGTTAGCATGAGTGGTAAAGTGTCCGGTGCGAGCACCTGATGAAGGTCATCCCCAGAACAATTTGTTGTGCGGCAGATCAGAAAAGTAACCTTTCATCCTGAGTTTGTCGAGTTAACGCATAAACCCACGCCCACCCGTCTGTAGTGCTTTTCTTCAGAAAATATGCACTAAGTTTTCCAATGATTCCATCTCAAAGGATCCAAAGAAAATGAGTTCAAACGGTGTTCAAAGTCGTCAGTCAACAGGGTGTGAAAGACTCAAACCTTTGTTATCCTTTAGGTTTGTGGAAAAAGTTGGCTACTGTTCAAATTCTTTTGTGAATAGTGTTTGCTAAATCTCACAAGACTGGACGGTACTCAGATGACTGCTGTGAACAAATTCGTCTGCATTCGGCATGAGGGAAAAGTAAACTTCCAGGCGATTGAAACGTGACTTGCATGTGTGACCAGTAGCCAACTCATCTCCACTCCCTCATTTCACACTGTAACATCTAAATATCACAGAAGGTTAAAATGTACAGGTTGAACCGAGCTTCTGCAGAGAACATATCACTTTTAACCACGCGCAGGCAACCAAAAGACACTTAGAATCCTCACTGGATCACCCACCTTATCGTAAAAGTAAGCAAGTAAGAATGAACCGGCGTGCGAAAGGTAATTAGCTAGCAAGTTGGCTGGTAAGTGAGTTGGTAGCTGAGTATTCACATAAGTAAAGAAGTACTGATTGGGTGAGTGGTTTGGTGAATGAGTGACGAAACGAATGATTGAATAAGTAGTTAAATAGCTTAAAAAAGTGTAAAGGTGAGTAAACAAGCAAATGAGCAATTGAGTGGCTAAGTAATCTGATAAGTAATCGGGAAGATCTACGAGCATAATGAGCATGGAAGCGACAGGCTCCTCATTGTGCACTGCAGTGCAGTCAACGTGCACAGATCAAAGTCGAAACTGAAGGCAAATAGCACCATAAATAGTTGGACACCATGAATATATAACATAATCCGCACGGGTCTGTGCCCCCCTTGGGTTTGCATTGTAACTACTTGCCGCAAAAATGTTGACCGAGCTCGTTTTACGTTCAAGCACCTTCGAGTACGTTATGAAATCCTGCACTTACCATGTCTTTCAGAACAATGCTGTGAAAATGCATGAAGGCATGGTGCGCTTCCATCGTCTTTTCCCGATCCTGAATTAATGGAACCACTCGTCGCTGGAGCCTATTCCTCTGCTTCTTCAAGGACTTCATGCTGAGATCTAAATCTTCCTTTGTTATCTGGGGAAGGAGCAACCAAAATAGTTCAATTGAAAACATCCCCTTCACCTACTCTGTAGTTGCCAATAAGAGATTCACAAATGCGGTTGGTTTCAGCATAGTCTCCGGCCAGCTCGTCCAAGTAGTTTCGCGCAATCATACATTTATGTTCACCAGTAAGTCGAAGGTATCGAGTCTGATCGAATGCTCCGCTCTCCTTTTTTATCCGAATAGTATGCTGCGCGGCTGAGGCAAGAATAAGTGCTGCATTGGGGAAACAGTTAATTTGCAAAAGATAAAAATCTAAGTGAACCTTGATCGAGCTCCGAGTCTAATCCCAATTTCTCGACTTGCCTTTGGTACATGGAATTTTCAAATTGCAATCGAGCAGCCACCGATCTTTGAGAATGAATCATAGTCCAGAGTAGTCAACTCACTTTACGGAGGCAATATTGGATACGATTTGGGCTAAGCTCATACTATTGATGTCTCCACTCGGAGGATACTTTTTCTTAGTTCCAACGAGAGTCATGGTTATAGGTTTTCTTCACTTGTGTGTGCACTTGGAGCAATGTATCTGAAATGGGTAGAATATCACGGGTTTTTTACGTCGCCCCGAACGATTTCCAAACCATTTAAGGTGTAGAATCAAAGCGATGCTGAGGCCTGTCTTTCACCTGTAGCATCCTTTCGCTGCCTAGCTGCCATGCCACCCGAAGGAAGCACGAGGGCTGGCAGGGACACTGCCAGGTTGCTCAAGCCTAGACAGGGGAAGTTGAGAGGCCAATGACGCAGAGTGGAGGGGAAATTTGATGGTAAACACAGAAGTGCGAGTCAACAGTGCAAGTTTCATTGTCGCAAAAACGCTTGCGTTTGATAGGAGTCACCAACCATCACTTGACCGGGAAAGTACATTACCAGACAAAGTCCCTCATCCCACAATCTAGTCATTGATCTCAATCTGACATGAGATGATGAACCAAGCCACTCATATGCCTGAGCCCCACATGCGACCTCCAAAGCGTATCATGCTTCACTATCACGAGACAAGCGTACTCGGTAGCCCAACTGATATAATAGCCATCTGCTCTGGCTTATCCACAGGCCACAGTTTTATTACATTACTTACACCAAGCATGCACTTTTAAGATTTGTCAATTTGCCTTAAATTCATTTTACTTCGTTCTGAATACCCAGATGATATTGTTGTTTTCCTGTGGAAGTCACAGTAATTACTCCAACAATTTTTACCCGTTAATCCATTGGGTAGATGCGAATTGAACTGCGCTGTGAAAGGTCTGGTGGAAATGTTTTAAACCCTGTGATCACCTTTGTCACTTTAGTAGATGGTGTCCTCATCCCAAAGACAGGAAGCAATCCACCTTTGACTTTGCGCCTTCAAACGTTCTGGTGAAAAGCAGTTTTTCTGTCTTTATGTGACCAAAACTGGAAATCTGCACTGTTGAAATATGAAGCGGAATGGCATCTTACTAAGTATCATCTGTTCAAGGTATTCTATCAGAGTAGTACACTATGGCAATGAATCAAGTGCCATTAATAAACTTTGTGCAGTTACTAGCGACTCATTTGGTTTCGCCTACAGAGTCTCTGAATGTGACTTATTTTTTTGATGCCACATTGCAATGCTCGGTAATTTGGATACTCCCAGCCCATGATTCAGCTTTTTTCAGCTAAACTCCAAATACTCTTCTTTTTTGAGCCGACATTCCTAACTCTCACCTTGTTCGCCGGTGACATTTTAATGAGCAACTCAGCAGAAGTTAACCTGGACAAGTTTTTGAATGGTTGTCAAAACACCTGACGCAAACAGGAGTCGAGCTTAGTTAGCAGAATGCCCAAACATCATTCTCGCCAGGTTGATTAGGAAAAAATAAAAATCTTACTAGGTTATAAGCACCGCAAACCTTTTGCGATGGTGAACCCAAATTTACCAAAACTCTGTGGACATGCGTTCACGAAGTAAGTTCTAAACTTGCAGTGGGGTGAGCTTATAAATTCAACCGATCGATGTGCTCGCACCAATTTCGACTACCATGCGTTGAAACCAATGAGATGAGCGTACGCATCGGGAGAGAGCACAAACAATTCAAGCAAAACGTTCGACTAAACGGACTTTGAAAGTCATTTCACGTTGTCAAATTGGGTGATACAGTGACGAAGATTCCGCCAAGTATGATCATTTGCCTCTACAGTTTTGCATAACTAACGTTCCTTAAAAGCTGCTGTTGGATCAGAAGAAGTAGATCAAAAGAGAGCTCGAGTATAGCAGGCCTTTGAAATGTAATTCACCACCATTTTGTATCAGACTGGTTCAATAACCCTAGTGGTTCTGGCCACCGGAGAATGAGGTATTAGATTTCTCAGGAACTTGGAATGGATATAAGCAGGTGAAACAAATGAAATATAAAAGAGTAGTTAGCTATTGTGCAAGGAGAGGAAAAGTAGCAACAAGGCTGATAGTCTGGTAGTTTAGTGTCGTTCAGTACCTCTCAGGACTAATGAAGTGTAACTCTAATGAGCCAACCTGCAGAAGACCTACTCCTCTAACTCCAAGGTTGGCCACTAATTTTTTGTACTTCGCATAAGGGCCATGCGTCCCTTTCCGTAGATTTTCTTCAAAATGCAGCTTGCTAAAAAAACTGAGCTCAACAGGGCAATAGACGACCCTGATTGGTTGCTGGAGTCAAATAATTTCGGTGTTAAAAAAGCCGTTGGCTTTTACCGCGACATATTATTCTCAATTCACTGTTCCTCAGTCGATGTAACCTTCATGGCTGTGCAGTGCTTTGTAGTAAGCAATCCATAAAAACAACAAATATGCCCTTGTTTCTTATGATAGGTGACCCTGATTCAACGCTAGACATTCTGCCACAATTCTGTCATCAACGTCATCATCATGGACTGGATGACATCAGTGTTCAACACTGATGGTTCACTGCCTTACAAACATGATTTATTTGAGGCATGAATTGTGAAGAGCAGAATAAAGTTGGACAGAGAATGGAATTGGTGCTAGCTTATTACAGTAATTCCACGAGGCACTCGTTCAGGCAATCTGGATAGAAACTGGTAACAAAGACTTCATTGACATCAGTTGGTAGCCAAAACTAGAAGCGCCTCCATCCAGGCACAGTGGTGACCAAGCGACTCCATTCTGGAAGGCGAATAGCACCGATAGCACGTTTCGTAACCACCTTCATACTCCTTTTTCAGGTCAAGTGTTGGCCATCTCTTTGCTTCCGCCACTCTGAACTGGGCATGAAAAACAGTATTCTCTTTGGCAGATAATGGACAGACATACACAACACATATTTCAACCAACGCGACTTCTGTTCCCAGAAATAGCCTTTAATGGACGTAACAGTTGCAGAACCAAGAACTTGCTTTCCACCTGCCTAGTTATAGGCTCTCCGACACTCAATTACACGATCTATCGTTCTAAATCAACGATTTTTGAACACCCGAAGACATCTCAGTTCCGTTGATTGAACAGGTCAAGCGTCGCAGCTATACAACAAAGCAGCGCCAACCGCAGCCTGATGCCCCTTGAGAATCAGGCATATACCATTTCGACGTCGTAGCTGTCTCAGATTAGCAAAAGCAACCCGGACCTTGCAGTTTCTTGCATCGACCTCATCTGCCATATTAAAATCAGAAATAATACATGTTACAAGCTACGTAAAATCTCCACAAATTCGAGCGCCTTGCCTTGGATCGTAAGTGGCATTTTCAGTGACTGCATATCTACTAGCATAATTTTGCACTTTGTCGGTGCAAAGTGCATATCAAGGGACGGGATGACTTTGGTCATTTCATCCAAAAACACCTGTGCCTTCTCCTCTTCACTGACGAAAACGGTGTCCTCTATATATTCCAGGTCGACGGGATTTTTGTGGGAGGCTTTTTGACTACCGGGGTTTTGAAAACATTCCAGCCGTTTCAGCATTTCACCGACAAGAAAACTAAATAGGAATGGAACGCGGACACCGCTTTGTATACGGAAACTTTTGAAGAGCTTTCCAGATACTCTCACACGTCGTGAAGTCGTCGTCAGTGTCAGAGAGAGCAACATTATTGCTAACGCTGACTCTCGACTGCCGTACAACCATGAAGTTTATATAATTATATCTAAAGCTTCGGAGTGAAGAGAAGAGAAACCTGCCAGTCTCTCAGTTGCCAGTCAATTTTTCCACATCTAATGCGGCCGTTGAAAACGAATGGAGAAGCGACTCCTGACGAGTGCATGACCGCAATTCACACAGCTGTTCCAAAACGACGGGGCATTCGGTTTTCGGTCCGCGCCGTTGGTAGTTGATGGTAATTTGATCTGTTTGATTTCGTGGCCGGCATGCCGTTGCAAAACACTATGTGGGCAGACGGCTTTGGCTATTTTAAAAGTCAGTACTGCATAAAACAACCTCTGGTCAACACATAGCAAACGCAACAGATCATCTCTATCCGTACTTACCGAGTCCATTCCAGGTCAACCATCTAAGTTAGTCTCAACTTTTGGTTTCATATCCTCGGCAATCACAACAACATCTGAACTTATAGGTCGCCGCAACGGAGTAGTTGTGGCTTCGTAATACTCATCTTTGACAGTGTCAGAGTTACAACCAGTTGAGGCGCAAGCAGACACAAAAAACAGACATGAATCAACTTCTCCCTTGTGGGAATCCTCCGCGGACTTTTCCAGACGAACCTCGCAGAAGTGCCTACCAACGATTATCCAGTCAAGCAGGGATCTTTCCGCCCATGGACTTGGGACGATACCACGTCCTGTATATCCCACCGGAACAGCTCCTGGATCACCAGAGTTGATCAGCCGGAAGTGAGTTCAAAGTGATGATTATCTCAATCACTGCGCTTGCATCTTGATTTCTTGTTTCTGAAACACAGCACACATAAATGCCGAACGAGTCCAACGTGACAGCAACGCTAGTTTGTTGACATGCCCGCTTCAGAGTGCAGATATTGAAAGCTGCCAGATAGACTTGAAGATTGATTTCCATGTACTGGAGGATGTCGGCGCCAGATAATGAGCAGACGTTGCTTGCTAAACCTCTGCAGTAAAAACACAGTCATGAGTCCCAAGTGATGAACCTACAGGGATGAGGCTGACGATATGGTAAGAAGATGAGGATGAAAAAGTATGTGAAAGAGAAAGAAGGGTGACTTAAGCGGCGGTTTGTTCTCGTTTACCCGCCACGCTGTATGGAGTATGTGGAGCAACCCGACTGATAGCATTGCGCGACGGTCAATGAGGGTTGGGAGTTATTT